TAATACTTAACAGCCTTAAGAAAACGGCTAAACCTATTTTTATAATAAATATCAATTTCCTCAGCCGCCCCATCTGTCACATCACCACTAGTCCCACCGCCACGGCTTCGCCCTTGACCCAACACGGCAGCTTCCAGCTGGCTCAAGGTACGCGAAAAGGCAGCTGAGAGCGAGGCGCAATTGACTTCCCTTAGGGTTTCATTACCCTCTAACAAATTTTCGTCAATTACCTTCTCTGCTAACGATCTAACCAATTCATATTTTCTTGAACTCACCGGAATATCATTAACTATTGACAACAACTGCGTAAGCGCCCTCGCAACACCCGAGTCACCGATGCCCCCACCACTGGCTGCACCGCCGCCTCCACCAGAGAGAGTCGACACATAACTGTCAGCCCTTTTAGTCTTAAAAGAATAGTTGTAGAATTCTGCAGAAGAATTCAAACCGGGAAACAAAGAAGGCAAAAGACGAAGGAAGAAGAGAAAAGCCGAGAGAAGAAAACAACGTAGGAGTTCAAGACGTCTATATTTTTCTGCTAAGAAAACCAGGGGTTTGTCGGCATAGAAAAAAAGAGAAGTAAGTAAATTTCTTAGGAGTAAAGGAGCCATGGCTGTTGGTGAACCCTCCATTAGAGCCCCTTCCGTTTGTCTTCTCCCTGTAATTGTGGTTTATGATTATTTTATGACAAGAAATGGCTATTTAAGGACTGAATCGGATATATTCAATGCATGTACGAGGGACGGAGTTTTCTATGTAAAATTTTCGGACCGTTGAATTGTTGTTGGCGTAGAAAATGAGTGGTAGACAGATGTTCCGTGAGTAGTTCTCTATGACGTGAGTTAAGTGGGGACACGGACCAGCGTATTTATTTTCAAGAAATTTGGCCTGCACATGTATAGATTGACTTTTTTTTAATTACAAGTTTAAAGAAATAAAAAATATGATCACATCAAATCATCATTTTTGAATTTTTCTCTCTCGTATGAAGTTCATAACAACTCTATTTTTCATTCTCATTCTACAAATAATGTCGCTCAAACGGGTTCTAAATAAATTATATTTACGATTAAAACTCTTACCAATCAATGTTTTTTTGTTCAACACATGTTTACACGCACATATCTAAAATTTTCTTTTCTTTAATCTAAACTACTTAATTTTCTCTATTTTGGTAATTTATTTGCCTTAACTTATCCAGTCAAATAAGGTAAATTTAACTTAAAAATAGAATAAACTTAGACGAGTGAAAGGATAGTGAAAATATAGTTTTAAAATTCTTAAGACATTTCATTTACACCAACTTTTTGCCACATATAAATCTTTGGTAAAGTGGAAGAACTTGCCAATTATCAAAGCAAGTTGGGAGGGCGACGTGGGGGCAACCCAGCCAAGTTGGTCGGGCAATTGGACTAACAATCGTGAGGTTGCTAGTTCGATTCCCGTTGGAGCTGCTTATTGGCCTTCTTGATTTGAGCCGGTCAGCTATGGGTAACTTAGGCTGGTTTACCTCCTTATGATCCTTTGCCGGTTAGAATTACAAGTCGGGGTTTACCTAGTGCGCACCTTTGAGTAGCGACTGCAGGTTCCCTTATCAACCAAAAAAAAAAAAAAAAAA